GGGAGCTACTTTACTTCAGAATACTGATGACAAAAAGAAGGAATTACATATTATGAGGGAATTGTTCCATTTGCAAGTAAGGGACCTCCATTCCGGCTACGCTTCTGCCAGAAATTCAGGTCTGATGATTCTGCTCAGGTCTGATACCTCCTCAGCCCTAACTTAAACTATTCAATGTTGTGGTTCAAGGAAGCTTCAAGGAAGACAGGCAGGCAAGTGGCATCTTCCACCCCTACCCTGCCAAGCTGAAAGGAGAAAAGGATGACTTATGGGACACAAATAGCACATAAGAAAAGTCTGTGGCCTAAGAACTCAAGCACTTGACTGAATATCAGACTTTCTGGGCTCTGATTCCCACTCCTTAGACCAACTTGTAACATTCTAACCACATGATACTTGTCTGAAGCCAGCTGTATTACCGAGAAGTCATACCAGAACCAGCAATACCTCCCCTCAGCTGGGGATAACCAGGAGGTTTCTAATCCACACTGCTGTTGCCTGCCAACTCATTTTCTCTCTCCTGCCACACTCATTTTGACGGTGTAAGGATCAACTTACTCTGACGAGCAAGAGATGAGTTGAGTATGGAAAGAAGGCAAATACACTCAGTGTGTTCACTCATGACAAAGAAGAAAGCCAGAGGACCCCTGGAGAAATAAATTTACTGTATGAAAACATGACCTGACAGACCTGGAGCACAAATCTGGAAATGGCTAAGGGAAGATGGGTGATACAGGACTGTAAACAAACAAACAAAAATGCCCTTATGGAAGTCACACAGAGGAAGGCAGAAGGATGGTAGACACTTGGACCTCACTGTGGACAAGGGCAGATTAATGAGTAGAGAAGTTTGGAGGACAGAGAGAGTTAACTGAGGCAAAGGATTGATGTGTTTGACAGACTATAAATTGGCAATGATGAGAGAGGGCTGATGGGACTGATGATTAGAGGATGGATGGGGAATGAAAGATTTATGGACTGGGCAGTTTAGACAGAGTATTACAGGTGAAACAGAGGATAATCTATTAAGTCTCTTGTAGGTCGGATGAAACACTTCATTATGTGCTGGGTAAGGATTACTTGAGTTTTATGAAACCTAATGCTGCTGTTTAACCTACATGCTCAAGGTATGTATACTTGCTCTAAGGTTCTTCATTTTCCCTGTCCCTTCTACAGCTTTTTTTTTTTTTTTTTTTAAGGCTATCCTATTTTAATTGCTGAGGAGAACACACAATGATTCTCTTGATGCTTCTGTTATATGATGTATCCCCCTTTGATGAACCTAGAAATTTGAAAGAGTCTAAACTTTTCTTTTCATAGAACCATAGAATCAGATGGATTGGAAAGGACCTCTGAGCGGATCAAGTCCAACCCTTGATCCACTACCACCACAGTTACTAGACTATGGCACTGATGCCACATTCAGTCTCAACTTAAAAACCTCCAGGGACAGAGAATCCACCACCTCCCTGGGCAGCCCATTCCAATGCCTGATTACCCTCTCTGTAAAGAATTTCTTCCTAATATCCAACCTAAACCTCCCCTGGCAGAGCTTTAGACCATGCATCCCTACAATACAGGCACATACATGTGCAAATCCACTCAAACTGGTCAAGTTATAGTGTTATGGAACACAGAAAGAAATGCAAAAAACCATAAGCTCCTCCTGAGTCTAGAACCACGTGCTGAACTCATATTCCACAGGGCTTGCCTAATGCATGTTAAAAGAGAGTGTTCACAAATAACATTACCAAGAAACTTGAGTATTTATATGCAATTATTCTAGTACTTTCCTCAAGAGAAGAGATCAAAATGTGGAAAGTTCATGATACTTTAAAAAAGATGTAGGTAATAAGAACATACAGAAATATATTAGTACAAGGACATTCACTATATAGGTAAAAAGACTATAATTTGCATTCTAAACCACAGAAAATGCCATCTAAAGAAAATATAACGGTGGAAAAAGTAAAGTTTAAGCCTACTATTAAATTCTTCATCTCTCTTTCACAAGCACAGGTTTGTAGCCTCTGATGGTTTAACACATTACACCTGCAACCTGCTACCTGAGAGTCCATATCCGGCTCTAAGCAAAGCAACACAAGATTGTTACATGTTTCTGATGACACAGAACACACTCAAATGGGCAAGTGCAAAATTTGGGCAAAGAAAAATCACAGTTTCCTGCTCATTTTTCAGTTTTGACCTCAGGACTCGTTTGCTTGCTAGCTGATTCCACCCCAGAAATATCACAGCCTATGGAATTCCTCTCACATAAAAGGTCAAGCAAATATAAATCCCTTCCTTCTTCCAACCTTATTTCCTTTCTTTTTTTTTTTTTCTCTCCTTTTTTACACACTTATCTGCTGAACTATACAAGTCTGCTAAATTCATACCTAACCATGTGCCACAGCAAACAAGTCAGGGAAATCCAGACAGAAGAAGACATCTCAACTCTCAGTTCTACTTAATATTTTACACACAGAGCCCCCAAAATAAATGTGATAAGGGAAAGCAACAGAACTCAAGCAGCCTTCCATCTTATTAAGAATCTAGTTCTCTTTAAAAACCCTTGTTTATACCTTGATGAAGACACCTGTGGATGCCTCATTGCAAAATTGGTTGAGTCCTCCTCATTTCTCCAATATTCAACTGGTCAATATTCAATCCTGAGGATTCAGTATTACTAAGGAAAGCAAGAGGAGAGGATTGAATTTTCCTTTCACTAACTAAGAAGTCAATCAACAACAAACAAGCTGTTTCACGTTTCCACAATGGCATCCTTTGTTTTTATGAGGATTCTTATGGAAATTAGTGCAGCTTCTAGACAAGTGTCAGCCACGGCACCAAAAATGCTTGCAGTCTGTTTTTGCAGGGGCTTGGGACACAATTGCTACACAATTTTCAGAAGTTTGGCCAAGTTTGCTGAAAGACTGAAAAGCAATTAACTGCTCTCAGAAGCACTAGAATAATTTTATTAGCTTTCTGCCTTCTTTCCTTTCCCTTAACCACCAAAAGCTACGTCTCTACATTCTTATAGCCAATTTACACCAGTGTAACGTCCCTTGAACATACGGCGGTGCAAGATGTAAGTAGAAAACATGCATACAGACAAATATAAAGTGAATGTAGAAAAGGAGCATGTAGCAAAACTAGGACATAATGTTTGGACATCAGCCTTATTACTCCACAACATAACAGCGCGGTCTTAACCTGTTTTGTCTGCAAACTGCATCCAACAAAGGCTTCCTTTTCCTTTAGTGCAGAGGGTGAACTTCAGCTTAATAAGAAATCTTCTCAAATGCCAGTTCTCGCCTTTCAGTTGAACCTCAGCATGTCTCCACACAATGGTCTAGGGTCAGAGAACTGTCCCTTCTATCCTCACATAGTTGAACTGTGGGCATGCCACAAAACACTTTTACCTCAAAAAGAAATGCCTCTAAAGTTCTTCTATGTGCTCAGAACCGTCAGCAACTTAAAAATTTCCTTTTTGTAACAAAAACGTGAAATCAAATTCAAAAACACCTTAACTCGATTTAAAACCTTTTTGGAGTCATCGATCATTAATGAGTCATCATTGATTAACCTTAATACGCCCCAGTCAACATAAGAAGGAAAAAAATATTGTAAAATTAACACTTTAAAAAAAAAAAACAAACAAACCACAAACGGATCATGACCGTGTTATAGGTAAGTTTAATTGCATCTTGAATTTCCCTTACGTGTTTTGCCCTTCTCCCTCCCTGTTAGTCTCTCTCTTTTTTTTTTTTTTTTTTTTTTTTTTTTTTTTTTTTTTTTTTTTTTTTTTTTTTTTTTTTTTTTTTTTTTTTTTTTTTTTTTTTTTTTTTTTTTTTTTTTTTTTTTTTTTTTTTTTTTTTTTTTTTTTTTTTTTTTTTTTTAATACCTTCACACTCAGGTGCGGAAACACGCCTGATGCCGACCCTGCACTGAAGGAGCGGGTCGTGGCCGGGGGTGTCCGCCCGGTTTCCCCCTCGGGGGCGCGGTACCCCCTGGCCGGCCGGGCCGAGCATCCTCCGCGGGGGCGCTGCCCCGCGGGGCGGGGGCGGTGCGGGGCTGCTGCAGTGCCGCAGCAGGAGCAGCTGCTGCAGCGGAGGAGCCGGAGACGACCTCCCTCCTCCTCCTCCGCCGCCGTGCTGGGGGCCCTCCATTGTGCGGGGCTGCGCATCCCCCTCCGAGCGCCTCAGCGCCCCCGCGTAGAGGGGCGCTCCCCCCGCCAAGGGCTGGAGGACGCGCTGTCACAGCCCCCCCTCCCGCGCTGCGCTTGCCATTTCTGAAGGTATTTATACACATATATATATACACACACACACACAGAGAAACGCCCAGACACATCACCCCCTCCCGCTGAACTTCGCTCTCCGCCCCGCCGGGGAGCGGGCGCCGGCGGGGGCAGAGGAGGGCGCTTCCCCCCGCGGCGCTGCTGCCCCGCCGGCGGCATCCCCGCCAGAAGGGAAAAGGTTACTGCAAGCGAGGCGAAAACAAAGCCGGCGATGCTCGCCCCGGCTGCGGGGACAGCCCCGCCAGAAGTTGCGGTGCGGATCCCGCATCTTCCCCCCCCCCCCCCCCCCCACCCCTCCGCCCCGCTCGGTGGCAGGACAGCCGGACAGGCACCCCGACATCGCCCCGGGGCCGGCGGGCACGGCGAGGGAAAGCCGGCTGCTCAGCGGTCAAACTTCTTTGTTAGTGACCCCCCCCCGAGCCCAAGGGGCTGCGGAAAGAGCGGGGAGCGCATCCCGCGGAGCCCCCCGGCAACTTTTCCCGACCGTACGCGCCGTGCCGGTACCCGCACAGAAACTTGTTGGACCGCTGTCCCTGCGCGCTCGCCACTCTCGCATCCCTTCTCCCGCGGTGACCTCTCCCGGCGCCTCCAGGAAACTGTTGCCTTTTCCCGGTGCCGGTGCCCGGGCGCGGCGGAGCTGGGGAGAGGCCACCCCCTCCCTGGCACCGGCAGCTACTCTGGTACTTGGAGGGGGACTCACCCTTCAGGGTCAGAAGGCTCTCAGAAAACTAGCGGTTCCATCATCCAGGCAGTCCTTCCCAACTTTCCTTGCATAGAGCGAGGACAGAGCTCCGCGTATTTATATGGAGAGAGGGAGAGAAGGAGAGAGAGAGAGAGAGAGAGAGAGAGAGAGAGAGGAAGCGCGCTGAAGTCGACAAGCCGCTCAGCAGACTTTTGAGTAAAAAGGGAGGATGAAACCGGATTCTCCCCAGTTATCAGGACCCTGGAGGAGGGGAAAAATAAAACAACAAAAAAAATCAAATCCTTCTCCGGCGGGGAATTCTGCCGGCCTCGCTGTCTGCGTTACCCTGCGGGCGCGGAGCGGGCGGCATCGCACACGAACAGAGCCCGGCAGCGGCCGCGATTGGCGGCGGCGGCGCCCCCCGGGTCCAGCAGCCACAAAGCCGAGCGGCGGCTCCGGCTCCGGGGCGGGCACGGGCTGGGGGGACGGGGCGGGGGCGGCCCCGGGGGCCGAGTCCCCCCTTAATTGATTCGTTACCTCGCCCATTGTGGTACACGTCGCAGCGCTTAAGCGGGGGAGAGGCGCGTTCCGAAGGGATGTCGTGCCATCTCCCCTCTCGCGGCTGCTCTTGCAGGGCTATTGTGCGGTCTGGTGAGAGAAATGTGTCTGATTTTTTGAAAACTGGGCTTTATTTGTCTACAGCCTCTTTTTTTTTTTTTTTTTCCGCCTTTCAAAATTATCTGTCTTCCCTGATAATTATGTAGTTGATGCAGTAATCAATTATTAATTCAATTCCACTTACCTATGCTTCTTTCCCCCTCAAGTTAAGGCTTTCCAAGGGCACATCTGCTCCTCTGTGAAAAGAGGGTAAACATTCTTTAAAATTAAGCAACGTATTCCTAATAAAAAGAGAAAAAAAGTAAAGTAAAAAAAACCCAAACAACAACAAAAAAACACTTATCAGGATAAGTTTTCTCCATTACAAAATACAATTTATAGTATTTATGGTATTTTAAGTATGGTATCCTTTTTTGGATGTAAGGAATCATTTGACTAGAGAAAATATCCCATTTCAAAAGGGCAGTAAAAAAGAACAAAACCCAGGCGCAGTTTTTATGTATCACCTGCTACATGGAGAGTAAACATGAGATAATGACAACATAGGTCAAAGTGACTGAGAACTGAAAACAACATAAGCACTTACATATATATGCAAGAGTACTTCTATTACTGTCTGTAGATAATGTACGTTGCATTGTAAGCATACATCTAGATAATATACATTAATAGGCCTAAAACTCTGTATGCAATGAAATCTTTTAAATAGTGTATGAAAATTATCTGGAAATAAAGCCTGCAATATACTGCAAAGCACGATGCAGTTGGAAGTATAAACATACCCACTTGTCCTTCCTGGAAGAATGGAAATCAGCAACAAGGGGACGTTGTTCAAAAAGTCTAGTGTGTAGGGTATTGATTGTATGGCAAGGTCCTTAAAGTACAGTTGGGAGCTAACAAAGTAAATACAGATATTATTGCAAATATTATTGAAAAGTCATACTCACAGCTCAAGCTTGCTTGCCACTAGCCCATTATTTCACCAAGTATGTACATAGAAAGAGACAAAATAAGTTTAAAGCAAAACATGGAGGAAAACAGTGTTTAAGCAGCTCTTGCACATTGAGAATCAACAGTAGTAGCTGGATCACTCCTTTGAATGAAGTACTTGGCACACCTTGGAGCAGAGCAACAGAGGGGACAGGAGGAAATCAGCATTTTGTGTATCAGCAGGCTATGACGTGACACATGCTGATGAGTTCGAAATCAGGTCTTCAGTGCTGCATTTCAGATCTACCTGAAGGCTTGCACCTTTAAGGCCTTGCATCTTGCAACAGGAAGTCTCTAGCTGTTTGTTAATTGAGTTCTGTTACTGCTTTGGTTTGGGTATTTAATCCTTTAGATAACAAGTATATGCCAGACCAGTAGCATTTCTGTTGTCAGAGGAGATACACTAGAACAATTAATAAAATTCTTCTGTGAATGCACATCTTCAGTTATCACTGTAGCTACACATACATATTTTTTCTTATTAAATAGAAGAAATTTAAGTTATAGTTATGTTACGTTGAAAACAGGTGACTATTGCACCAGTAAATACAAATTGCTAAGGAAGATGTAGCTGTTTGCGGTTTTGACCAAATATTGTTTCACTGTTCTGTTTTTGTTTCTCTTTAGAGCTACTTAGGACAACTTGTGTTTACCTGAGAGTTCAGGATACATCTCTCCTAGTTTATTTCTTCTGTTACACCCACCATCATCACCTTAAGGAGATCCCTGATTAACATCAATTTAAAAAAGAACAGGCTCTGGGCTATTTTATTTAACGGAATCATGTGAAATCACTAATGTCATCTGCAAATTTAACAAAAATAGTAAATTAGTATAAGTGCAAATGAAGGAGGCGATAACCAACACCACCACAATTAAGAAATTACTCAGTGAAGGAGAGAAATTGTCATGCCCACTGTAGAGCCTGCAGAGATTAATGGA